AGTAGTTCTTCTAGCATACCATCCAAAAATGAGGTGAGAGTAGCACAGCCGTGTCACTATGACAATATCAAGATTGCAGTCTCTGATATCACAAGGCTAGTTTTCCCCCTACGCTCGAATTGGCAGAACTAACAGCCACGGAAATAAGCGCACTAGCCCTTCAGACAGCTGGGGTTACCGTGGGGCTGGGCAGCGCTCGTCCCCCCAATGTACCGGCTCCAAGCAGCTGGGCAGCGTCGGAAAATGCCTGCCCACCCTGCCAGGGACTCCGCGCGAAACATGACCTGTGTGAGAAAACTGGAGGCTAAACCCTGCTCTGCTCGGCATAATGGCTCTCGAGAGCCATCCCGGGCTTGGACGGGCTCTGTGACGTGGGATGTACAGCTCTTCTCCCCCGGCCTGGGATCAGCCCTGGGAAGCTGCGTTGCCACCTGTTGCTTACAACATGGAAAGTCCCTCAATGAAATGCCTGATTTAAGAGTCAGATGGGTTTTGTAGCTGCTTTTCACAGGATAATGGGCATAAGTGATAATTAGGCTTTCTCGATATGATTGTGTAGTATGGTTTTACCAAAGACACAGGTCACATTGCTTCACTTCAATATATTGGACTTTACCTTGGGAAAGTGCTGTGAGATATATTGGACACTTTGAGAGGAATGACATTTTAGTCTCTTTCACCCATTTCAATCCTCCCCAGTTTCATTTGTACAGTCTGATCTAACAGACTCACTAACTGGTGTTTGCTCTGGCAGTTTACTTCAGCCCCTACAATGGCAGCATTTAGACTCTGGATCCCATGTTGCGAATGAATGATCCTGCTATCGTCAGGCCGAGGCCCGTGGCTGCAGGATGTTATGGTTTCATGAGGAAGGAGCCAGGATTTCAGGCCCCTTTGCTAGCTGCAGGTTCACCTTGCTATTGCATTTCAGGGCCCACCTCCATGGCAATTTCCAGGGAGGCCCAGTAGGATGCTCTGTTGGGATAGGGCTGATGGCTCTGCAACAGCGAGAACCTGCTTACCCATTGATCCATGTATGTAGCTGGCAACAGGAACTGGGGAACCAGCTCTAAGCCTGGAGGCTGATGTAGGGGCCAGAGAGCGATGATGTGTTAGTCTCTCAGCCAAGGAAGGAGCATTTCCTTTGGTCCTCAGAGAGCTTCCCTCTCCCACAGCCCACCTCCCCTCCCTCAGCCCTGGGAACAGGGTTTATCCCAGCAGGTTTGAGTTAGCCTCTTTCAAAGCCCGAGTTCTTAACCCGCAGCTCACAGTGAACCACAGAGTAAACTCCCTTACACAGTGCGGTTTGATTCAGCAACTTCATCTAAATATTGACTCAGGCCTATAGCTCTCCCGAGCAGACAGAGGCTGTTAGTCATGTTGAATGGTGCCAAATTATACAAAGGGGGCAGATTTATGAGGCAGAGTTACAGAGCCATGGACGGTACTTCATGGTGGACTGTGGTGCCAGTCAACCACGACGTAAAACTCGCCACTGTAAACCTGGAGCACAGATCAGAGCAGATGGAAATCATGATGTTTCAGCGTCTGGGGCAGGTGCTGGTCAGCATTTGCCCCACACATGATTCTGCTCCACACAACACCTTCAGAAATTTGCAAGGTCTGAAACAGGGCTGATGGGAGTTTCCAAGCTATAACTGGTGGGGTGCTCTCAAATCTTGGTAAAAGTTTGATACTACGAACCTATAGAAGAACAGGAGACCTCAACTAATGTAAATACATATTACTGAATATTTCTGTTTTACACTCCTCTTCCTTTCCCATATTCTCTCAGAAGAACTGGGATAAGTAGTATAAAAATTCAAAATTAACATTAATGTGGGGCTTTTCTGTGCCTTGGATTTGCATGAAAGCCTCTTGATGACAGAGAGAAGAGGACTAACTACATTTTCAATGCTATGTTAATATACTGTACGCACTCACAGAGCAGACTGTGAGTTTGAGTTGGACCTCAGCAATGTCTAGTAGCTCCGTGCCCTGGTTGTTAATCAATATGTGATCCAGTACACCTAAACTAGGCACATAAACTGTGCCTAAATTTTTCCAATCCAAATCAGGCACTGTCTTCAAGTATAAACCCAAATTCCTCATACAGTAATGGAGACATCAGGTTTTTAAAACCTCTAATTCCTTGCTGTCTTCCCTGGAGGCCCTCAAAGGACCCTCTTCCTCTGTAAGGACTATGTTGGATACTCACTTTAGGACAGCTTTATTAATCAGCTAAAGGCTGGGGCACAAAATGTAAGTAAGTGTTTAAATTTACTGGACTAGATTCCACCCAATGAAATGTCATGTCACCTGCGTAATGAGCACTAGTAGTGATCACCATGGAATAATGTAGCTAGCTCTCTGCCTCTATTTCAAGAAGAATGCTTATAAATTGATGAAAATTATTCAGAAAAATATCATGAAAAGTATTACAGTGTTAGGAATAGGAAGGTAGCTGAGAGACTCCACAATCCAATCTGCTTAGCTCAGAGAGAGAGGTTAAGAAAAAAAATGTGAACTTATTATGTAAGCACATACACAGGCAAAAAAAAAATTAATAATAGGCTCACTAGAGTCATAAAAGAAGGTCTCATCGTATGCAACAACTGGAAACTGAAGGTGACCCAGTTCAGACTACAAGTTAGTTACAAATTTTAATTTCAAAGGTAATTAAGCACCTGAGACCTTATCCATTTGTATTGGATTGTCTATCAAGAGATCAATATAAAAAGTACTCGGTGGGTTGTGTGCTACATAGGATGATTAAGTTCCTTGGGTCACAAAGACAATAAGGGGACGTGGGGGAGATGTTATAGTGCCGAATTCTGACGTGTATGGGCAGATAGTGAGAAGAAGAGTGAGCACAAAGTGCTGGATCCAGCTCATCAGTATAACCTGACCACGTTGGTGGCATTAAGTCAGAGATTGATTTTTCCAAATAAAGATTTTACAAGGAAGATTCATCAGAGATGGAAGCAAAGGATTTAAAATTGACAGACATGTCAAATGAAAGCAAACAAGTGAGTGGCAAACATCAGAAATCTTTGTTTTGGGGTTCCACTCATTAGGTTGGACACAGCAGAAGGAGAGGGGGTGGTGAGACACTTCCAGTTTTGGTGAGGCACAGAGTTAAAACTGAAAACCAGAAGTAACTTCTGAGAACTGTTATATCCCACTGTCAAACACATGCCTTTAAAATAAGAGGCAAGTCATACATTACCATTTTGGTCTGAAGCCTGCCACTGTCAACATTTGTGTTTGTAAATTCTAGTAACATGATGGTTTTAATTATATAGGTGTAGACTTTGTTCCCCAGTAGGAAGAAAGTTCCTTACAGTGTCTAAACTGAGAATAAACAATGGTACAAGACTTCAAATACTAGAGAGTATGGCAAATGATGCCCTGTGTTTCACATTGTGCAGTCACTCACTGTAATGCAAAATTAATGTAAGGTGACATCCAGAAAAAGACTCATGTCATTCAGATGTAAATGACTACATGAGGTCAAGAAAATAGCAAAGAGAGCCCAGTATAGGAGGTGAGTGTGGGAAGGATTAGTGGAAGAAAGGGAAGACAGACATTCTGTGGAGACACTTGCCAAGCAAGAAAAGATAATTTCAAATGTCCTCTGTGGAAAGAAGTGAAGGAAATAGTGGGAAAGGAAGCAAACTAAAGCAGGAAGAAGACAAAGGAGAGAAAAAATTAGAGCAAGAATGAGATAATCAAGAGCCTTAAGAGTAAAGAAAAAAATGAAATAGTTGGGACAGGGCAGGAAGCCAATTCCCAGAGTGAAGGAAGGCATGATATTGTTGGACGGATAGAAGAGGAAAACTGTTTCCAGCATCAGTGGGTTTGGCTCAGGGAAAAGGCAAAGAGGCAAAAGAAGTCCTTTAAAGGAAACAATTATAGCCAAGACAAAATTAGCCATTTACTATAAGAGAAAGTAAGAGATAGAAGTTATCTGTTGGAGCTTACATGTTAAAATGACATGTTTGACATCATTTTTTCCCACCTGACTCCTACTAGCAGCTGCTGATTTAAATTTTCAAATGCAAGAAACAGTATTTAAGGTGCTTTCTTTTTGGTTCTCTAAAGTGATAAGCAATTATTAGCACGGGACTTGTGACAAACTCACCTCTCTAAAATGGCTTA